GATGTTATTACAGGTATAAAAGTGATCTTTAAATAACCTACGAGGTATATGGCGTTTGAATTGTGAGGTATAAAAAACAATGCACATAAACATAGTTACGTGATGTTTACGATCGAAATATTTCATCCCTTAAGTAAATATTTGTCGTTTAATCAAACCTGAAGTGTTGGTAAACCGCTGCATGGTATATCGCACGCTCGGTGCTGGTTCTAATTTCAAGAATTGCACGCGATGATTAATGAAACGGTAAACTCATATTTCAATTCTCATATTGCTTGTGTGCTTTAGGTAAGATAACTATTCGAGAGTGTGAAACAGAGACGAGACTATTGAGTACCTTTTACAAAAATATACGTGTGAGAGGGAAAATTAGTAAATCCTACTACCTTCGTAAGTGCTTGTAGTAGTTTTTGGATCATACCTACTCGAGACCAGTTTAGAAACGTCTATTAAATAACTATATTACCTGTAGAGTTAAACAAATTAAAAAAAGTTACATGCACTATTTGGGATTTGATTTTTGTAGTACCAAAAGGAACAAGATTAATTCATGAACTTATAGAGATTAAGATCAATAAAATAAAATAAAACTGAATAAAAGAATATAGTTATGATGAATAAAATTTAATCTTAATTATATGCCCTTTTAATCTTACATACGAGTAATATCTATAATACAGTTCAAAATAAAGAATAAAATTCTCATTGAAAAATGCAATTCACAAACCAACTCATAACTTCTAAATTAGATATTGCAAAGTCACTCTTTAGGTACATTTCAATTTGAACTGTAACGAAAAGTTATAAGGATGGAAATAGCAAGTTTTCCGATAAAGGCACATTCAAGTCAATCAGTTGGAGATTTTATTGTAGGAAATAGTAATTAGCGTGAAACTGAACAACACTGTTGTAAAACGTTTAAATTTTTCGTTACAGCTTTAATTGGTGCAAGGAATTTAATTTTAAATTGTTATGAAGACATTTCCGTCTCTGGAAGCGTTTATTGGTGACCTAATTGAAGCAATTGACATTCGCTTGTCGTTTATAGTGGGATCGTTAGTGTCCATAAATACATAATGGTCAGGAAATAATATTTGTTACCCAGAATAAGGTTTGCAAAATGTCATCATATTTATTTAATTACAACAATACATATCAGTAACAAGGCTTAGAAAATAATAAAACATAGTACTATATGAAGTAGGTACCTTTGCGAGAGGTCCATAATGCCCACCCAACTTTCAAAGGTTTGCGATTACTAAAGTCCTTGTATTACGCATATACCTAATCAAATATAGCTCTATAGGGAATGTTAAGGCTTAAATTTGGAATAATAAATGAATTACGGTTTACATGAAATACAGTTCTGAAAACGTACATTTAATTATAATAATTTTAAACGTCAAACCAATAAATGTGTCCTTGTTAAATTGTCACGACACACGAAAGCTTTCCCATAAACTACAAAACCCATATTTTATAACAACACTGGACGATAAATGTTTATGTTAATTAAAAACATAAAGATCGCCCCCGGGGAATGATCGCGAGCACGCTATTATTTCGCTTGTTTTGTTGGTAACAAGCGTCTCTTTTGAAAATAACTATTTTTATACTAATGAGGAGGTAAGCACAAAAGGCTTTCAGTTCAAGGTCACGTTGGTGGCACTTTCGTGAAAATGTAGACACTTGGACATTAATGCAATTGCTATTTTCTTATTTACAATTTTGTGTTAAAATTGCCGTAGAGCGATAAGGCAACCAATTGTATAAGCCGCATTGTTATTCATTTTCGTCTTTGATATTGCTGTTTAATAATACAAAGGTATTTTTTTATTATTATAGTTAATGAGCAAAAAACGAAAAATATTTTTTTTAACTTTAAACATAAATCAAGCCACAATAGAGTTTTTGAAATTTACTTTTTTTAAATGCGTCACTCATAAACATTGTAACATAAGAAAAAGAGTCCTTATACGAAATTAAAATTGCAACAGAATAAAGAGCATTTCTTTTCCAACATACAAATAATAATGCATGAATTCCGCTTAAGTACGCAAGCATTTTATGCACTCGAGATTTGCGTAGATGAACGAACGAATGAACTCAGATTAAATGCTGTACCATTGAGTTACATTCGTTGCTAAGTGAATGGGACGTATAATTACATTCACTGTAAAGCAATCTATCGTTATAGTTCCATTCACTCGCTGGCGCGTTCATATCTCGACTCGTAAATGCATCAGACTTGCAGTTAATATATATGACTGTATATCGTCATTTAATTGTCCTGCGTCACTATATTTTATTATTTTATATCATTTCTAGTTTTGTTTGTCATCTATAGCCAACGATGCATGTTTGCGATAAAGCTCTATGAAATACTGTTCAAATGTTAGTTCATGTTTACATGACTATACTAAAAATGTTTTTAAGGCTTGCATATGTATGCGAATTTCTTTACTCTACCATAACTTTATTTGTGAACATATTTAGATTTGTGGGGTATCATTAGAATCATCAGATCAGATGAAATACAATTTTGACACCACATTGCATAAACCTAATAATAGACAAAAGAAAGCCTACCCTTACCAACCTACACTTGTTCAAATTAGTTTTCATTTTAGGTAATTTTTTCTCAACATTTGAGTGAAAATAAAAGTGTTGGCTTAAAATTATTTACTTTAGTTTGAGGCACTTATTTTTTCCAGTACCCCTAAGTCCATGTTCTTTTTTTAACGTTCTAAGTCCTTGTAGTTTTAGGTCAGAAAACCACAAATAAAATATTAATAGTAAGTTTCAAATTCAAGTTTACATTTCAAAGTCATTTACTAGTCTGTAGATTCCTTTGATAGCGAACAATGCTATCGGCTGGTACAGCAACTGAGCAACTAACATCAACAATTAGGCCTTGGAGTATCTTCCCGGCTTGTCTCTTCACATCGAGGGTCCCACAATACAGGGGCTTAGTAACAAAGGAATAGTTTCCAGAGACCCATTCATACAGTAACTGGTATCTATGCCTTGTTTATTTAGCTGTTCGTTATAATTCATTACCCCGATCTATTGACTATTGCTTATGTAGCGAATATAAGAGCTTTATCCCAAGGGTAACTGATCATTAAAACATGTATTTGTATCAACATATATTGAAGCATCATAATGATATTATTTTAATTAAGGCTCGTTATAATTTTTAACCTCTAATAAAACGAAGATGAAATGGCAGGCGGGTAACTATCTGCTGTCTAGACTACTCGACTTAACTTTACAATCTGACCAGGTACCGAATTTACTATGCGGTATCCGGTCGGATTAATTTTATTATTAAATTAAGGTCATTTATTTATTCTGTCACTTATACTAATAAGTGGCCGAGGCCACCTCGAGTGGTGTACTTTTCTTACTAGAACCTAACCAATGTGCTCGTATTCGAAGTCCATATGAGAAGACAGAAGACCAAACAATTATAGCAACTACGCTTTACTTCAATCTTGCTTCTGAGACATTTGTCTACGAGTAACTCTAAACGATAAAAAGAGAACTACTATTTTCCTTAAGAACCGTGTCATGTTAGACTGTCCAATTTACACATAACTCTTCTTCACCTCTTAAAGAAAAAGTAAAGAAAAGATTAGTATACTATTTAGTTTAATATAATAATAATATTAAGTAAACACATATTTAACTAGCTGTATCCTGCCACGCTTCACTGTATCACATTCAAATTGTATTCATGAGAAATAAGGAACAATACTGATGCATAAAAAAACCTTGAATCTAAATTTGACTTTGTACGTGGTGACAAAATTTGAGCTCAATTTGAGAACTTTTTGAGTTTTTGAAGCGTATACAAAATAACTTAATATTTTTATTTATATAAATAATCATTATTGTGAAATATTCATTAATCGAATACGCAATAACTTGTGTCATCGTGATTACTATAAACGTTGGGAGTCATAGCCGACTCAGATCCGCCAAACGGCCACGGCACATTGTCTAGTTAACGATTTTGAATCCAAGTGAAAGTAAAGAAAATTTTATCGTATATACCAAATGTTACATTTTTTAAGCTACCAAAAAGATTTTTTTCACGTATACAATACAATTTATAAACATAAAAGATAGAGATAAGGTTAACTATAAATAAATTAAAAAAAAATGCGAATGACCTAATTACACAAAAATTATGTCCATAGTCAGCAAGATTATATTGATGAATTAGTTCATATTCTGTTTTTTTTTTCATTGTATCAATGTCGTTTCAATAAAGCAATTTACATGAAATAAATAATTAAATTGCCTTTGCTGAAAATACTCTCACATTTTATTAAGGTTGTGGTCAACCCAAAGGACACATTTCTGACACAAAAGTCATATGGGTACTAAGTATTCCCAAGCGACAATTGAGATATTATCATAAATTCAATATCCCTTTATCACCACATACACATTCGGGTTCTTCCGAGAAATGATACAATCACAAGAAATAAAAGTATAATACAATTGTTTCCGCAAAAACGTGTAAGTAATGTTACGAAGTTGGCAACATTGACCGCTCGCGATGAATGCTCACAGAAAAGTAGGTCGCCGCCAGAGCTACAAACACATTAACGAAATAAGACGAAAAACTTTTATAATTAATGTAATACAATGCCAGGACTGTAGAGAATTAATGACTCAGATCGAGATAAAATTTTGGCTCTTTTGATTGCTAGTAAGACAATATTGGAAGTCAAACAGTAATAAGAATATGTCTACAAATATGCCTATCAATTTAAGTCAGTGCTTTCAAAATAAAAAAAATTGGTTTGTGATCTTTTATGCCCTCACTGTTCAATTCACCATAGGCGAATAAAATATTGAAGGCTATAAAACTGTTAGTGTTGTCAAGCGCAAATTCAGTAATGGATACGATTTTATGATCGTCACGAGTAAAAGATGTTGGTATACAAATATAAAGTAGATATAAGACAAGGTCGATAAATGTTGAGTTACGTACCTGTAGCGTAGGCTGGTTCTAGGTCGTCCTCATCGTCGGTGTGGTGCCTGCTGGAGGCGTGCGAGTGGGAGTGGTGTGCCACGCCTACGTGAACCGGCTGTATTGGTTGCTCGTAATGTTTGTGATGGTCTACGTATACACGATGGTGATGAGGACATGGCGTTGGCGGCAAGTAATCTGCTAACGTCCCACCACGCGTCAATGTAGAACCAGCACTTAATGTTCCACCTCCTGAACAAGACGCTAACGCACTACGCACTGATCCCAGATCGAGGGATGGCCGTCGGGACAGTTCACCGTAGCTCTCGCCAAACAGTGCGCTTGCAGGCACAGCGTGGCGTATCTCGTGCTGGTGGTGTGAGTGTCCACCGTTGGATGAGGAGTGAGGCGACGCAGAGTGATCACGACTGTCGCGGGATGTCGACGCTGTATGTATGATACTCTCGTCGTGCGTTTCCATCACTTCTCTGGCCGTCGGCGGGTTTGGGTGGACGTGTACCGCCGAAGTGCCTGCCCGTCTCGGACTTCTGCCACGATCGGGGAGCACCGACGAAGCCGACCAATAACCCCACGCCATTTTCGTTCACTATTTACAAATGCACTAGTACAAACTATTAACGATGAGCCATAAACGTGGGAAGACTGAAATGAATCCTGCTTGAAAGTGTAAATTTAAATATGGAGCGAGCTTGAAGGCAATCGCAATGGGGTTTAGTGTGCTGGGGTCACGTAATCCGAGCGCGTGGACGACGAGGTTACATGAGCGCAGTGGGCTGGACGCCACCGCGCGCCAACTAGAGGGGACACGAGAATTGTATTAACGAACCTAATCTCCTTTGACGTTGGCGCCCGGGCCGATCGGGTAAAAGCTTCGTAACCTCTCCCAACGTGACTCACGTTTTTTGTTTAAAATATTTTGACATGTTGATCTGCCGAGGGCGTCGAGTGACAGTGTCGTTAGTGGATCAGTAATCGCGTAATCCTGTTTATACTGCTGCCAGTGAGTTTCATTTCATATCTCATTGCTCCGATAGGATCGGGCGCGGTGACGAGACTCGACAACCGCTACTAATTCGGGTTTATTCAACTCAGACCTGTTTCGGCGAGGCCCACTAAATGAGATGGAAACTCTGCTGATACATTACGATAAACAACGGACGCAGTGGATACTGCTGGCTAGCGATTTGATAGGCAAATATGTTTGGAGTTATTGATTTACGAGTTTCTAATTTTGCTACCTACCTATTTGTTTATACTATATACAAATATTACAATCACCATATTTGTTTATTATTATAGTATCTATACTAATATTATAAAGCTGAAGAGTTTGTTTGTTTATTTGTTTGTTTGTTTGTTTGAACGCGCTAATCTCAGGAACTACTGGTCCGATTTGAAAAATTCTTTCAGTGTTAGATAGCCCATTTATCGAGGAAGGCTATAGGCTATATATCATCACGCTAAGACCTATAGGAGCGGAACACTAATGAAGAATGTTTCAAAAACGGAGAAAATTTATTACTATTGAGAGACGCAGACGAAGTTGCGCGGGTCAGCTAGTAAAAAATAAAACAAGTGATTTCATGATTTCATGGAAAGTCCACAAATGTTGTCAGGAAAATTATTTCTTAATGGCGAACTGCGTTTTAATAACGCTTCATTAAACGGTAACCTATTTAAAGTGGAGGCAAGTGACGTCAGCGGTTGAGAAATCAGCTCACGGTGTATAGGTCTATTGCTTTATGAGTCGGAAACCGCTGCGATACAGGCTGACATTGTTAGCCACTTGCAGACGAGGGGTGTGATGCGTCGCGCTGTGGTCTCTATAGCGTCAACCGATTGTTGAGTGCTTTTAACCTTCTATTCACGCTATAATAAAGCACCATCTAGATCAATGGTTCCCATAACAAACAATGTAAATACATAATAAATTCATTCCTTGTTATCTTTAAGACCATAAAACACTTTCGCATTGTTTGTGGGGATATGTACTCGTATAATATGCAAATGTTGTGATGGTGCTCATTTCGGTAACAAAAGCTTCGTGTTGCTTCTAGGATTTTAGTTACATTGTTAATATTATTTATATTCCTCTTATAAAAAGTAAAGTTAAAATCTAAAAAACTGAATGTAGTAAACATGCAAATGTTTGAATTCTTAGCATGAGTTATTACATTACATTGAAAATTCAGATGTATATTACACATACATATACGTGTACATGCAGTATATGAGCATGGTTTGAGTGTAATGTTCCAGGTCAACATTGCGCCATATATACCATGATACAAAAATTATATATATTCTTAAAATACATATTATTTACTTTACTAAGAAGCGAAGAGAATGAAAGACATTTGGATGGTTGCTTTTCAGCTGTTAATTTTTCACATCTTGCTACATATATATTTATTTAACAAAGGGATGAATCAATCGAGAAAACAATTACAGTCATTTATGTATGTCTATAATGTTTTCGTTAAATAAATTGAAATCGCGCGGAAGTTGCCTATAAATGAAACTGCTCTGTCAAATAAACTTTATCAGTGTAAATTTAATATTTGTTAAAACAAACAACTAATTAATTAACATTCTAATTTAAATAATTACATTTTCTGATATGTTCAAACAAAAATAATAGCAAGAAAAAAATAATCAAAAAATTAAAGTGAACTTATTTCATTATGAGACCTTTGAAGGCTGCTCTTGAAAGAGATTTTGACGCCTTCAGATACTTTAAGTTTAAGATACAAAATATCTTACGTGTTTAGTAATTAAATACAGAATCTCGAGTGAGCCTTCGCTTTTAAGAGATTAAACTTTTGAACATGTATTTCGTTATAAAACTCTGCCTTGTGTTCTTATTTTGTCTCGTTAGCTTTTCGACTTTTTAATATAGTTCTTTTAATTAAATATGAAAAGTATGTGCTTGGAAAATATAATTGATTTACTCTTTTAAGTGTAGCGTTTTATTAATATTATAATATTAATAAAAACTTTTTTTTTTTTTTAATAGACTAACGTTCCTTTCCAATATTTAACTTTACAGTATTCTTTTAAAATCTGCACAACACAACACTGTATGTTAACAAATTAGTAAGGAAATTAATTAATACTATTAGAAATAGTTTTCTGTTCCAGATGTTTAAGAAACGTTCAAAAAGAAACAAAGTTGTATGTAGACACAACGTCCATTTTTAGATATCGTTTCTCAGTTTTTTTCGTTTTTATTATAAGTAAATTTTGCATTTCGACACGTTCAATATTGAAATCTCAAAGTTCTTATTTTTGTAACTATAATAAACTTTTTTTACGCTGTATAACAACAAATTAGTTGTACTGTGTATGTAGTGCCTTACTTTTCCCCTGATTTCATGATTCTATTTCAATGAAAAGTAGTGTTCAAATGGTTAAAATGTAAATCTTAAATAACCATGGCTTTGATTGCCTTGACTTAAAAGCTTAATATTTTTATTGCTTCGTGAAACCGCAGACATAAATGTTTTACGTTAATTTCAACTGAATGCCTCCCCACGTTCTTGGAGAAGAGGTACTAACAGGCGGCCAACAAATTAATATAAGCGCTCCTTTCATATAGCGCAAGAAAAATGCGTGAGATGAGTGCAAAATATTTCACTCGAGATTGCACTTTTTGTTTTTCGTATCATGGATGCTTGTTTACATAATAAGAGTGCCGTCCTTATGATGCATTGATGGATACCAATCTCTATAACTTATGGACGTTTCCTCGACTGTAATCATTAGGGAAATCATGGCAGGATAGCAATTCTACAATAAGAACGTTCCAGTAAGGATTTCTTTTCCAAACTGCACTGTACGTAAAAAAAATTGGTTTCAATTTGAGGCAGAATAGCTCAAAGAGAGAAGCCGCAGTGTAATAATTTATTACAATAATACTATTTTTTTACTACTAATGAATAAAAATAGTAGCCTGAGGCATTAGTATTCTTTATGACAACAATTCCAATTACATTATTATTTAATGATCAATCCATATTTATATTATAAATGTGAAAGTGAATTTGTATGTTTGTTTGTTAAGTTTTCACGCCTAAACCTCTACACCGATTTTAAAAATTCTTTCACCAATGGAAAGCTACATTATCTGCGAGTACCATAGGCTACTTTTTACCGAAATATTCGACATAAACGCGGGCAAAAGCTAGTAGATAAAAAATCAAACATAACTATTAAAGGTAAGAATTTAACGACTGTAATCTAGTAAGTAAACTCAAGATAATATAATCGAATTAACTGCACTGCGATTTAAATGCACGATTGCACGGATGGCGTAGTGGTTTAAGCGGTCGCCACGCTGCTAACTACGACGCTGAGTGTTGTGGGTCCGATCCCCACATGGGACGACACTTTGTGTGTGATCCACAAATTGTTGTTCTAAGTCTAGGTGTTCTTTGTGACCGTTTTATGTATGTTGTAAAATCCTTCGCGACACAGAATATATTCCTAATGCCTGAGTTGTCTTTTTAAAAAAAACCTGCGTTAAATGCGTCTGGTGACCAGAGATCTCACTCAAAATATACGCTAAGATACTTGTAAAACGAAACGTAAGTATGTCGCAATACCTTGTGGCTCAGCAAGTTTATGTGTATTTAGTCCCTCAAGGGAATCCTAACGTAGTTTACATTTTATTTTCGGGTCCTGAAAGGGTTAAAAGATGATGTTGCTTCCTTGACATTTTTAAAGAATCACAGCTTAGTTTGGGGCTTTTATGTGGGGTCAACTTCACGTTAGCATCACATATAACGTTGTTTGATATAATGCTTCAAGACATACGGTTAATATTCTTGTTTGTCTAACGTGACCTGATTAGCAATGAGTTAAACCTTTACTTGAAGTTGTATTTGTCATTGAAGTATAATCTGTAATAGGTTTTATTAATGGTTTCTTTGTAGACTATACCTCTAAACCGAGAATATCCAAAGCCGGTACAAACCAATCTGTGGGTTTGTTCAATTCATTACCGATATCACAACTCTGCCGATTGTTAGACGAAGTCAGGCCCGAGGGCATTTATACACGTTAACAAAATACATTTTATTACGAGGAGGTAAAAAGGAAGGGGCTGATGCTAGGACACCTTCTCTACCAAAAAAACGCAAATAAACAATATTTGTAAATTATATAAAGTAAACTGGATTACTAAGTTTAAAAAACATTAAATTAGACATAAAATCTTATTCTATAATATTAATTTAATATTTCCGCTAGTAATAATATCTATTATAAAGTAATTATAATATCAAACATACCAACATAATTGTAAATCTTTATGCAATAACACTTTCTGACACAAATTGCTGAATTTAGTCTTGGACGCCTGCGAGCACTTTTAAATAACTATGGATAGATTACGAAAATGCACTTTAGTATCTCGCTTTAGTGCCCAGTGCTTTAGGCATTTATTAGTGTTAGACTACACGGTCTTTGAGCCTTTTGCGATGTGCCAAGTACAGCCATCGGGCTCGTCAGAGCAATCTAGATGTCAAAGTGTGGATCGACGTTAGCCGGTGGAGTGATTTTGAAATACGCTTCAGT